TGTTAATTTCTCTGATTTCTCATCGGAATGGGCTTATATCATAATTCGATATAGAACTCACCCAAACTAGCTCACCACCGCAAACCGTTTCTTGCTGTGAGCTCCCTACGTTTTATAAAAAATCATTGAAATTCCCGATTTTTCGGACCTCTGAAAACGAGGCGATGATGTGACGTCAAAACCCTAATACTGAAACAAGACTATTCCAGACAGAGATGAATGATACATGATTTTTGACAGAGTGAATTAGCGCGAGATCACAGTTGAAAGAATTAATATATCAGTTGCCTCAGTCTCCTTCGGGCGTTTGGTATTTTCTTTTATCTAGGCCAGATGAAGTTTCTACGTCATAAGAGGGTCCGTTTTCAGAAGGTACTATTATTTATGTCCAAAAATAAAACATTCCAGTTAATTTTTCGATCGAATTATGTCGTCAATCATTATTTATGTATCAAAGGATCTTTTTAAACGTGCTTTGAGTTAAAAGTTCTACTATAAGGTGTACACGCCCATTCCCTCTGTAATAGGAACTATAATAGAAATACCCGTGAAATTTCGAAAATAATGCAAGAAGATTGGATTCATGCAATCAAACGGGAGGACTGGTCTGACATGCTGACGAAATATGAACGTGTGTGTGTTGTAGACATTTTCAATATTTTAGCAGTAATAGCTTCTATTGCAGAAGTGGCAGAAATGACAAAATTCCATGATGAAAACTATGTGAGATTAATATTTACCTGAAAAATCATACTCCTTCGACTCTCGCTGCATTTTTTGTGCATCGCACAACAGTACAATGAGAAGGCATGCTTGAATTGATGAATAGCGCAAAGAACACGATTCGTATGCCCAAATATTGTGAAAAACTATTTCAATCCTTCGCTTCGTCTATGTAAACAAATAAAAAAAGTGAGGTTGTGTTTCAATGTTTCACAGGAGAGTGAGGTTATGTTTCAATATTTAACTTCCAGGGTCGATCATCGTTCATCTATTATGATGAATCAAAATTGAACGGAAATTTTCGATTTTGCTATTCATGTGTTGAGCAGTTTATATTGAAAATTACTACACAAAACTTGTGACTCACCTCTGCCTATACAGAGTGTCGAACAAGTCGAATAAATATTCCTGCAGACCCCATAAAAATCTTCCGTAATTAATGCATCTATCATTTATAAATCGAAGTCGAGATATGCAAACAAGAAACAAGCCCTCGCGAAATATTAAATTAATATTCTTGTTTTCTCTGCGATTGTGGATTAATAAATTTGCAGTCGTCCGGTATATATGTTCATTTGGAACGCGTTCGATTATGCCAATAATTCTCCGCTTTGATTTATGCCCTTGTGGGATTTTAAAAGACGATTTTCCCTCTGCCATAAGATCGGTAATCGATTATACCGAGCCATTATTTATAGAAAGACAAGTAATGAAAATTTCTGCATGTCGTCATAATGATTTGTATCCCTGAAGTAACATCACCAACAAGCTATTACAGAGTGAAATGAATAGAGTTATAATGTTATAAAACCAATTTTGTGTGATTTTTTTATTGAAAACTTCATCATTTTGTATTCACCCCATGTCAATTTTGATTACCAATTTCATTCAAATATCATGGAACGTTATAGCAACGAACTTTTTCTGCCCAGGCAGAAAAAATACACCTCTCCTGTCTATTTAGTGTCAGAAAAAGCCACTTTTTCTACCGCTTGGGAAAAATAGTACATTGTTTTATTAGGATCAATTGTGACACTTTGTTTGACAAGCAATATTTGCGTTTGCGAGGCGGAGCGACCGCGAAGCCGAGCCTGTAAATTTTGTTGTTTTAAAGATACAGGACGTCAAAAAAAATTTGTTTTTCCACAACTTGATTAAACACACTTTACAACACTTATCAACTCGAAAATCAGTACTCAACAAACTGACATTTGATTGGAAATTTTATTTGACAGTTCAGTCATTCATTTCCTTATGAAAACCTTCTACACTGAAAAAAAAATTGAGTGAAATTTCACTCAAGGTCCACGCAATAATGAGTCAATTTCGGTCCACGCCCGATTGAGTTGAAATTGCACCCTACTCGACTGTGTTAAATGGTAATTCATGAACCGATTCAATCAAATTTTTTATAAACATTCTCATTGATATGAGAACTTGATGAAATATCTAGTTTGAGTTGAGAATTCACTCAGAAATGTCAATGAGTAAATTCACTCACAACCACATATGCATTCAATCAGAGGAATTTTCTACAGTGTATATTAACGGTTTTTATAGATATACCATAGGATTTTGCATGATGTTTTTTTCATAAAATGCCATTTTTCTCGAAAACTGTTCACTTCAAAGCATTGAAACAGGACCTTCTATGTGTGGAATATATTATTGGCGCTTCAGAATGTGCTTTAAAAATTACAAGAAAATTGATCAAGAGCCTCAAAAATAGTCATCATTAATGATTGAGTATGATGTACAATCCCACAGAGGCCCGTCGGTAGCTCAAACGGTCCCTGAGATAAAAGTAAAAAACTGAAAACATTTTTTGACGCCCTGTATGTGAGGAAAAAATGTATAATTTTTTTTATTAGGAATTCGCAGTTTTTTTTTCGACACTTATTTGTTAACACTGTATAGCAACCCCAATCTTTGGAAACTTTTCAAATAGATTCTATACAGGGTCCTCACCCTATAATCATTCGCTCACGTGAAGGACATTTATCTATCTTATCTTATCTAAAGTCCTGATGCCAATGTAAACCACCGATGAATATCTCGTAGGGCATGCACATTCCGAATAGTATCCACAGGACATTCTGAGAACGTCCTTGAGATGTCCATTGGACGTTGTACTCATGACATCTCATGAAATTATATTCCCTGAAGAATATTTTTGTACTTATCTCTAAGATAAACATATGGATTATCTATAGGAGTTTCTTCCGAAGTCGATTGGGATATCCGTCGGATGTCCCTAAGGAATACGTCGAATGTTATACGATCCTGGAAATATCAAGAGCGTCCGTGCAGGGATATCTGAAGGGATGTACCGTCTGGAACAGTTCATGATTGCTCTAGAAGGGACATTATATAGAATCTGAAGTCATGTCAGAATATGTACTACTTGGGACATCCGACGGATGTCCCTAAACGAATGTTTGAAATTATATCCACGCCCACGTGAGACGTCTGAAGGATGTTATTTCTAGGACATTTGAAATGATCTACCAGCTGGGACATTCCATGGACGTCCTTGCTCGGACATTGCATGAGATGTACGAGATGGGACGTCCCATGGACAATTATTCCAGGTCCGGGACATTCGGATTTGAATTTTACCAAATATGGACGTGCTATTTGGGTAGAAATTGATCAATTCGAAAAGTCAATTGTTTTAAATAGTCACCTTCCATTTCTTTTTCACCAGTGGGATCTTATACAGTGTCATTCATAAAGTCGGCATTAATGACTTATTTTAAAATTCGAGTTGGACTTGAGTTTTGCTTCAAAAAAGATGAAAAATGGCCTACTCAATCGGGGTCACGTGACTCACTAGATGTCCAAAGTGACATTTTTTCAAATTAATCGCTGAAAGTAGGCTTATTTGTTCGAATATCGGAAAAGTTTACTTGAAAAAGTTGTTTCTATTTCAATTTTACCGATATTTTTTAAAAATTTTCGGAATTTCTGTAATATTAAAAAAATTGTAAATTCGATAAAACTACTTTATACCAGTAGTTTCATCATGGTACTAACTTTCAATTACTAATTATCACTAATTATCGACAAAAATATGATTTTCTTCAGAAAATGATAATCTCCGCTTCAAAATTCTGTTATGTTTGATGCAAACATAACATCAAAATTCTGTTATGTTTGAGTCAAGCATTCAGACACGAAATTCATTTAAGTTTATTTTTTCAGTACTGAAAAGATCAGTTTGAATGAATTTCGTTTCTAAAAGCTTGACGATGTATCAACTTTGCATCAAACATAACAGAATTTGGAAGCGAGTATCATCATTTTCTGAAGAAAATCATATTTCTGTCCATAATCAGTGATAATGAGTAATTGAAAGTAAGTAGCATGAAAAAGCTACTGGTATGAAGTAGTTTGGTGGAATCAACAATTCTTCAAATATTACAGAAATTTCGAAAAATTAGAAAAAAATCAAAATCAAAAAGTTGCAATAGAAAGATCAAATTCGAGAAGCATGTGTAAAATTGAAATAGAAACAACTTTTTCGAGTAAACTTTTTCGATATTCGAACAAATAAGCCTACTTTCAGCGATTAATTTGAAAAAATGTCACTTTTGACATGTAGCGAAAGTCACGTGACCCCGATTGAGTAGGCCATCTTTCATCTTTTTTGAAGCAAAACTTAACGTCCAACTCGAATTCCAAAATAAGTCATTAATAAAAGTTTTTCCCATAAGATGCCAACTTAATGAATGACACTGTATACGCTGAAAAATAAGAGAGCTTCATGTGCAAATCACTAAACTTATTTAAAACAGTTTCTGCAAAGTTTTTAAAACAACGAAATTTCATGATTATTGAATGACTGTGACAAAGAATATATTGGGAAGACACGTCTGAGCATTGGCACAAGATTCAAAGAACGTATTTCTCGTGAACTACATATTTCATGTGTCGCAGATGATCAGAAATAGGTACTGTCATTGAGTACGTACGTTATATTATATTCCGAATGATTCTGTTTTCTCGATGGAAACAAATTTCCATGCAACGCCTGTCATTGAACACGTGCGTCATGTTCATTTGTCTGTCGCCGACTTTTATCTATAAATCGACATGTGTGTGTCCTAATGCCACCTATATCGCTCATTATCGAAAACAATACACAAAGGGATCGCCTGGAGACTGGCTTTTCCAAAATTCAGGACACACGCTAGACGCTGGCCAATCAGAGGCCGATATCGTGAGGGCCAGCGTCAAACGATGCATATTAATCGATTCACACTGTATTAGGCACGTCACGCGATGGTTGTTTGTCGTTTCATATTCATAAGACTTGTAGCATTGTTTTCCAGGACCATAGGTTGTTGTTTTTGTTTTCGTTTCGGTATGCCGAGGTTGATTAAGAGGAATGGCGACAGGCCGTTTATCGTGATTTTGTTTTGGCGAGATACGTTCTAAATCATCATAAGTACGTGTAAGTATGAAGTGTTCCTTGAGACTAGTCGGAAACAGTAGTCTCGTTTGGCCCAACAAATGATACTGGAAATCTTTGATGAAAACTGATTTTTTCGCCTACCATATCTGAAAATGTATCATATCAATCCTAAAAATATGACCGAAAGTAATCTATATCGTCCCTTGGGCTGCTTAACTCATAACAACACGATTCAGTCAACGATCAAGTTTTTTAAGATGATTCTGAATATCTCATGACAGAGGTGAACAAATTAATCAATATGGAACACATTCAGGGTGATCAGAATTCTGAATTTTGCACCACCCTGTATAAATAAAAAGTTAAGATAGGGACATGAAAACCGTTTTGGCCAGCAATGAATATTTAGTTTCTACACAAAAAATTCCTAAAGTTCAAAAAAACTCAATTTTTCACACCCCATATCTCTGTAATCATTTCAGCTAGACCCCAACTGTGATCAGCTCTTCAGGAAGAATCTAAAAATGCAATAAAATACAGGGTGTTCCATTCAAAAATGTATACATCTTGCCCATCACATTTTTTTGAGATATTGAATTGTTTTTATGTTAACATATTCAAAATCTACAGGAAAAATCATAAAAGACTGTTTTTTGGAAAAAAATTGGAAAAAAGAGGTTCGAAATATACGTGAAGACCCTGTACACTCGAAGAAAGTATTTTGAGGAATAAATTTTTGCATTGCTGATTCACTGACCAAACTACATCCAAGAAGGTAACAGCAATAATTTTTCAAAATAGTTTAAATATTCCGTTGCTGGTGCTGCATCGAATATTAGAAACCGAAATATCTCGAAATCAGCTTACTTTAGCGGATTATCACTAGTCTATCTTTTCTGCTTAGAAATGTTCAGAACATTATTTCCTTGACTAATAAAGTGAAAAACTACACTGAGAAAAAAGTTATGGCAATTTTAACCCATAAAAAGTGCATTGGTAAGCGCCCTCTCATGGCCACAGTGAAAACGTGCCCGTATTCGTGTTCGTATCCCAAAAAACTCCCAAATTTTTGGAGTAATACGTTCGAAAATGTTATTTAATTCTCACAAAGTCGACTTTTATTCTTTAACTTTACCACCCTGTATCTCGGAAACGGATCAATTTCAGACTGAGGTGAGTTGCTTTAAATTGGCTCATAGCGAGTTCAGGAATGTGTGCTGATATTTTGTATAGTCCTTTCAGATCGGATTTTTCGATCAGAACACCTTCAGAAATGAACGAACATTGAATTACGTATATGCACGAGGAAAATTCGTATACCTATTATTTATTTTTTAATGTTGGACTACAGGATATAACTGTCCAATTTCGATAAATGAAGATTTCCAGATAGCTATGCCAGTTTTTCCTGTTTTTATCAAGGTGAGCTAAAATAGTATGTTATTTGGTCAAATACGTGAAAATTGTTGTAGGTATGTATGATTGTACCACATTTGTTATGTGTAGAAAAACCAGAATATTTCATATAATGATAGTGACCAAACTAGGTTCAGGTTCGTTACAAATATAGAAAGTTCTGGTATACTCATATTGTTCTTGCAGTAAGTACATCAAAAATTAAAAAAAAAAGGTTCGAACTTTTATTAAAGGTAAATTGATTGACGCATATTGGACTAAAAAGCGTATATGACAATTGAAGGGTGAAGGGAAAAATCAAGGAATGTCATATTTTTATTGAGATATGCATTGCTTTACGAAGACAGATTCGTTCTCGATATTCTCTACCCATAAGTCTGCTAAAAACTCGTATAGTCTATCAGAAAACATGCCTTGAAATATCGTAGAACGGTTAAAAACAGGGAATGTCCGCCCGGAAATTTCAAAGAACTAGGAGAGTCAATATCAGCAGGTACACACAACCCGAATTCTTCGCAATTTAAATCAATCTTTGCTATCTAATCGTCAGTCACGTCCGCATCAGAAGTAAACAAGAGTTTTTTGTCTTCGGAATCAACGTGATTCATCAATAGTGGGATACATTTTTCAGTAAACAATATGTCAAAAAATGTCCATTTCCAGTACAAACTATCAGGGAAATCGAAACAACTGAGGAACATTCGAGATTGATGAATAATAGAATTCCATACCATGGTAACTGGGAGCAAAAGCTCCCCAAAAAAACGCGTTGAAGTCAGCAATGATCTGCGAGAAGGTGAATTCAAACTTCCATTGCTAGCATACAGAGGTGAATTCAATTTCAATCCCAAGTAACGCTTTTTCATGCATTCTGAAATTTTATTCTAGATTTATTGCCAGTTCAGAAAAATTCAAAAATTTTATGACTGAAGAGATTTTGTGGACCTGAAGCACAGATGTACTCCATAGAATTACCTCATCAATGATAACATTGGGTAACTTGTTATTTCCTCCAGAATGTGTATGACATTCCTCGTTTTTTTCCAAATCAATATGTTCTTGTGGGAATTTATTATTTACTTCTGCATAACGAATACAGTTGTTTGTTTCAATTTTCATAAAATATATGAGAATATACTTTTACTTCATAAATAGAATTATGTCATTATTTTAACATAAATAGTTTGGAAGTAATCCGGTGTTTAATTGGTAAAATGCGATTATCTCAAAACGAAGTTATTGTGACATTCCTAGTTTTTTCCCTTCACCCTTCAATTGTTATTTCCTTTGATATAAATTATAATTCACGATTTAACATTTTCCCAAGTTAGGTGTATGATTTGCGTGGAACTAATTTTCATAATGTCTTACTTAACATTACCATCAATCATTTTCGTTCGAGAAAAACAAACGCACCGCGTACGTCACATTTCCTTTTAATCGCTTGTTTATGGTCAGCCTATTTGATCGATGTAGGCTCAAAACAACGCGAAAAAGCATGAAAAAGTCGATTTGATGTAGAAATATTTAATTGTTGTTGTCGGCTTGTCGAGATAACACTGAAATAGCAATAATTTATTTGTATCATTCGAATAATAGACAATTTTGAAAGTAGACTCAAAACACCACTATGATGGGAAATATAAGTGAGTAGTAATAAGCGAAAAACTTACACATTAAAAACACTCAGTTGATATAGACAGAACATGGTATTCACTACTAAAATCTGAACATGAAAATGGTAAATTCAAGATTAATTAATGAAAACATCCTGTAACTCCTTTGATTGCCAACGTCACCAATTGTCATTGAAAACTGAAAAGTTTCAAGACATATTATACGACTTCGCAATTGAAAAAAAAAAATCTCTTCATGTTGAAAACGGGAGCAGAATCGGTCCCGAAACGTCCAAAGATAAGTGAAAATCTGATATTTTTTCTATATACCTTTATTTCTCTTCTCCAAAAATTTTTCAATACAAATTGTCACTGACAAGCTAGTGAATTTTTCTTTTAGGCTCTCTGATAGGAAAATTCTTTAAACGCAGTGACATTTTGGGGCAAATCATCTGATTTGTCCTTACTACACGTATATTGAAATAATATTCATATTTTTATTTTATAGAAACGAGGAGAGAAAATCCCAAAAAATTTGGAATAATGAATATACCACCTCCTCAATTAACCTACAGACATTATTCTCCCTAATGTTCAAAAGAAGAACATCTTGGCGTTCCACGCAGTTACGGGTTGCGACTCGACGTCTCACCTTGCAACGATAACGAAGGAGGCAGCGTGGAAAGTCTTCAATGAAACGGCCTGCCAACTTTTAGACAACCTAGGGCACTCTCCGCTAACTCCCTCATCAAAGGCGAATGCAGAGAATTTTCTCGTTCAGCTCTATGAGGTCGGTAAAGTTTTTTCAGGTGTTTCAGCAAGTCCAAATATCAATTATAACGTTTCTATTTTTCTGAACAGGTGACTGAAGATGTATCTAGATCAACTTTTTGGTGTTGTGAAAAAGCCAGAAGCCTTACCTCCAACAAGCAATGCGCTGCGGCTACACCTCCTAAGATGCCATATAATAAAAAACATTTCAGGTGAACGTGTGGGAAAATGCTCATCATGCCCGACTGGAGGTGATGAATCCTGAGTCATATGGGTGGAGGCTTCACCAAGACGAGTACATTCCCATCCTTATGACACTTGAGCCCGTTTCCAAAGCTTGCACGGATAATTTAACCTGTTTATGTTTGTCCCACTGCCTGACAACAATGTGCACGTACAAGAAGAATGGACTGACTTGCACCAAGTTGTGCCACTGCTCTCACCAATGTCTTAACTCTTCGAATGGTTGATTAATTATCATTTTTGTATTATTGCCATCAGCTACCGAACTATTTCTTCATTATCTTTCCACAATCCTGCAATAAACAGTGTTTGAACTCTGGAATGGTCGTTTCCTTCACTTCCTTCGGCGGCCATCTTGAAGCCCAGGCACTCATAACTTGAGGTAAGTAAATTTCAAGCACTACAAAGTACCAAGCATCCAAACCCCTAAGCAGATGTTTGAACCATTATTACAAGCCAACGGACATGGGAGATATGGGGCAACAGAGTTTTGACCACCATCTAGGCCGCCATCTTGGATACCGGACTTCCGGTCCAAATTTCGCTTTGGCAACAGGCAGATTCGTATTCAGTGGGGTCGAAATACCTGTTTCCCCAATTGTTACATGAAATGCTTCTTGCATTGTTAATTTCTGAAAACGTGCCTAGTCTACTATTTCTCTGAGTGAATAATTTGGTGATTATTAGGAAACTGTATCTGTTGCGTTTTTGCTTTTACTGATAATAATATGATATTTAAATATGTTTCGTAGATTTTTCCCATTTAATGGACTACTAGTCAATAAAGGCAAAGCCACCTTCGTTGTAATTAACGTGAATGCACTGTTCTGATCAGAGATTCGCAGGAATGGTACTGGAATCTAGTAGGTATTTATCAATAACGACTGTCATATTATTGGAAATTTGTGTTTTCATAGTGACAACAGGTTCATATTTCGGTTTCACAGAACTGAAATGATATTCGTTACTAGCTTGGTGTATAATAGTACATTATACATCAAGGGACAGAATGCAAGATTTTTTCCAAGGTGCGATTTGTAGCTCTAGGCGAATGGTCTGTACTAATCGTCGACGGTCATCTCACGTAGTGACGTATCTCAGTTTTCCTAATTTCACAGCAGAGCAGTTCAAAGATTTTCAACATTTTAATTAGCTCATATTTCAGAGGGTTGTCCATGAAAGATCATTATTTTTTCATTTATCAGTGGATGAACTGGAACTAGTTGTCATGATATGGTGAGATTTCGAAAAAGCATCCCCAAAAACGAAAAAAAAAAAGTCATGAGATACGTCACTACGTGAGATCATGTTTGTTAATGGAGCCTCAGATATACCCATGGATATCGAGTGAATTCAAATGAATAACAGATCTGAATATTCATTTTTATTGATAAAAACACAGAAATTCATTCCACTTGTACAATCCTCCTTTCAGTACCTTGATATACGTCACCCAAGATATTTTGAATTTCGCGACAAACCCTATGTGAGATTCGTCACTTTCGACATTTTCAACACATAATGAAAATATATCTCACGTACTGACGTAACTCCTATAGTTAGGTCACTTCGTGAGATTCGGTAGTCCAATAATTTGAGATAGGCTGGGTATTAGATTTTCAATTGCACGAAAACCATTGAATATTGAGTTACGCCACTTTGTGAGATCATGAAGTACAAGAATATAAATCACTTGACGAAGTATCTCGGATTCCGATTTTTATGAGATACGTCATTACGTGATGACCCACGAAGTGTGAGCCGATCTGCAACTGTCAAGTGTCAAGTCCTATTTTATGGTTATGGTTACCCATGATGGTGGTCACTGTTGAGATTGAAAAATAGTGAATTCTCATTTTTCCGTGTATTTGTAGAATCAAGGTGATTAAAACTATGAGAACCATGTAAGGTGAGTCTTTTGAATTTGCAATTTGCGTGTATTTCACAAACAGTAATATAGTGGTGTGCTTTAGTAGAACTAGCAGAACGAATACCTACCTATAGTTGAATTTGACAAGACGATGGGATGTCAGATTATTACGCCATCCTACTGTCATTATTACTCTTATTACTCGATTCATCATAATAATGTCTGTCATTAAATGTTGAAAAACGAGTTAGCAATGTATGAATGACTCATAGTTATAGATAAAAATAGTTTTTTCATGTCTTCTATTAAGTAATCTTTTTCCACCAATAATAGTAGGTACATTTAGTTTTTGTAATCAATACTTCAAAACTAACATAAGCATTGTTTCTACTCACAGATTTTCTTTTTATAAATTTGCTGATGATGAAGGATTAATCCTTCGAAACATGTCCTTATGTCCATGACCGTTGTTCATTATTGAATTGTTTATGTGGTGGAGTTGTGACTGTGAGTTCTTTCAACCCTCCTAATATGTTTCATCTTCGTATTGATTTTTCCAAAAATTAACTTTTTATTTCTGTTTGAATCAATATATATTTTTTATTCCTAATCCATTTGCTCACCTGATGGGAGTAATAGTCCCCAGCCCCACCGACCTCCTGATGGTGTCCCCGCAGGTCGTGGTGCCCGATCTCCTGGTCGAGGTCCGCGTGGAGGTCCTGCGCCATCTCCCCATGGGGTCCCATTGCGACAGCATCGTGGGGATGGTGGTGGGGGGCGTGCATCTCCCCCATGCCCACGCCGATCATCAGGGGAGACACGTGCGAGTCCCAGCCGTCCTCCATGGGTCGGCCTGCTGTGATCTGGAATTGGAGAAGTTATGAGGTGAGCTATGAACGTGCGGTTTCGTCTATTTCTGGACTTGTTTTAACCCTTAACTGGTATCGTGGGGTGTTTCGGTACCCCACTATAGTGATCATTATGCGAAAATATTCTCGCAACTCATATGGTTCTAGTATGTTATATTGCATTGGTCTTAGAGTTCTGTGATTGCATCATTGAGAACAATCAGCTTCCACCCTATGTGGCAAACTGAGACATTTTTTCTACCTCATATGTATCAACTTAAAAGTACTTGCTTGGCTATTTGGAAGAGGATTCATCACCCAACCACATTCATTCCGAAATAAAGAGAATTGTTTTTCAATGAATCAAGAAAACATAAAAATGTGCCAAAAAGGCGGAACAGCAAAATCAAACATAAAATGAATGAACAACAGGAACAAGGGAATGGTTTTTTGCGAGGTTTTTTGGTACTTATACGTTATGTCTTTGACAGCAGAACCAAAGTCGAGGAGATGTCACACCACCAAAGTAGCATGTAGTGCCACTTTTGATGTCAGCAATCTATGAACTATGATCTTATAACGATAAATTCATAAAGAATGAGTGAATAATAAATGATGAATTCCAAATAATAAATGACACGATTTCAAAACGACTGCTCCATTTATATTGGAAATCAATGCTTGGTTTGCAATATTCAGAAATGGGAATGGCCGCTACCTGGCGCGGTATTGCTTACGTAGGTAGTTTCGCACGGTAAGCGGTTTGACAATTTCACAGGAAATAATGTCTATTAAATCAGCTGACCTGAACGAAACTACATCACTGTACTGGATATCTTAATTTGGCTGCGTTACTTATGATTAAAGATCTTGAAATGAACGAGAGTTTAAGTGATGTTATTCCATAGGCATTTGCCCTTCTTGACAATGTCATACTCTCAATCAACTTGGTGATTTGTTACAGGTATTCTCCTAAGTTCGTGATATCTCGGGAATTGTATAGTAAACTCCTTTGCAAAAATCAAACTGTTTCGGAAATGAAGAGTGATTGGGGTGTGCAAATTATACCCCTGTAAGTTTTTTTACTACCATCGAATCTTTTCTTCTTATCACAGCTCTGAAGAACAAGCCTGCAATAGCGATAACTTTCCACAGGGAATTTCTAATGTCACGTAACATTTTTGAAAAGTCATAAGTTTTTTATTGTATGTATCACCGTTTAAAAAGTGTGGTGTTGAAACCCCACGATATCAGTTGAGTTTCGGGAATTTACGATACCAGTTAAGGGTTGGTGATGACAGTACTCATCCATATCTTCTGGGAAAGATCTCCTCAAACGAGGCTTCAACCTCTATGATAATCCTTAATATAGGTATAGTGTCCACCTCGCTGTCAACCTCGATGTCTACCATTGGTTACTTTGTTATTATTTGTTTACAATGAGAAAACCATCAGAGAAACGCATCTTCCAGTTTGGACAATAAATATACATTTTTTACATGGAAACTCCTGTCTAATTATGTTTTTTTCTGTTCGAATTCCAAGTTTTTGATGAATAAGAAATGGTCTTCTATTGTCAAGAATACTGATGGATTCCTGGAGAAACGTTCAGTCAAAATATATGATTTTCTTATTTTTTATGAATTGGATGAGACAAAAAATAACTAAAAATAATTATGTCGGAGCTCAACTCAGGCAATCGGAATGTTATTGATTGAATCAGAAATATACAATAATACATATTATTATGCGAATAGTGAAAATTATTACATAGCGTGTCTCACTTTAAACGGTCCCCCTCTATATCTCAGCTATTAATCGTACGATTTTTGCCAAATTTGGACTGATATGGATAACTATCGATGTAATCAGGTTTTCAGAGCCAAACATCATTTTGGACAGTGCCGTGCGTTTTTATTGAAATAAAAAGGGGTCGATTTTTGATGATAACATATTAAGAATTCTTGAAGGGAAAAACTAACCTCATAATATTATGGTTTTGAACCCGCATTGTGAATTTTGATGTAATGTCTATAGATGGTTTCGAAAAAACAAGCACATCTAAACAGCATGTTTGCGAAGATACATAATTATTTACACGGAAATGGTGAGTTCAACAACAATTTTTTTTTTCTTTCAAAACATGATTTTCTTCCTACCGGAGCCATCAAACGTTCTAACCTTTGGAATTAATTAATAAAGCCAGTCCTGGTACTCCTGGTAACTTGAAATGAGTCGAATTTTTGGATATGGACATTCGAAAGCATAAGGAATAATACTATGAAGTTAGTTGTTCTGCAAAAAAATGCCCAATATGATTTCATAATAATTCGAATTTTATTAGAATAAAAACGCACTGAATTGCCGATAATAATATTTATCTCGATGGATAGGTATTCATATCAGTCCGAGAAGAATCACACGAATAAAATATATATGGGATATAGAAAGGGGCCGTTTAAAACGCTGTAGATAGTTTTTTCAGGATTTGTTTTAGTTAACAATAGCTTCGGAGTCTTATACTTGAACGAACTTGTTATGACTAAAATTATATTCGGTTTTTTCTTATTCCAGTTGGTATAATAAATCCTCCCCTCACTTTCTTTTTGTTTTCTCTCATGAACAATTCACTTGTTTATATATATCTTCCAAATTGTTTACCCTGTATACATTTTTTCGCTCATTAAATTTTCGATGAATTTTATCCGTGTTTTTATGGTCCCCATTAGGATTTGAATTACGATCGAGATTGATTGAGAGATTAATGTATCTATAGTACCCATGATTCGAATTGACCAGAAGAAGAAAAGTTATAGTATATAATAAAAATGCAATCCATCAGGTAGGAAGTCTCATGTAAAATCATACACGGTGGCCCATGTTAGTGTTATGTTATAATTTTGAGATATACAGGGTGTTGCGAAATTCGACCGACATCAGCGCTTGACAGGTGATAGCCCTCGTGATTTCATAATCACTGAGATAGGGACATAGGGTCTCCAAGTGTTCAGTTCTCGAGATACAGGGCGTTGAAGTTAAGAAATTGAAATAGTTTTTTCCGTTTTTTTCGCAATATCCCAAGAAATTAATATAATGCATTCAAATTCGGTATTATATGGTTTCATCTTTCAATGGTTCATTTTTTTACCAGGAAGACATTCCGAGAATTTTTTCGATTATTTCCAATTTCTCGAATTGATTGTTCAATTATGTTGGAAAAATGCATTACCTTCAACTGTTGAGCTGAAATGAACAGTTATCGAGATATTTGACCCAGAATAGAAGTTTGCATAGTAATTTTCCATCTTCCTCAGTAGTAGAAAACTACAGAAATGTTTGTTTTCTGTTTATGCGTGGAATAACTATTTCTGTTCAGCTACAGGATGAGATCTGAATAGTATCTGATCTACTCAACATCAAAAATATATTTTTGCAATTTTCTACTACTGAAAATGATGAAATCGAGGATGAAATATTACTATGCAATCTTCTATTTTGGGTCGAATACGAGTCGAATATCTCGAAAATTGTTCATTTCAGCTCAGTTGAACAAAATTGAACAATAAATTCGGGGAATTGAAAATTCAATCAAAACATGGGAGGAAAAGTTACCACAACCCCCTATAGGGCACCACTGGATAAAATGTCCAGAATGGTTTTCTGGTGAAAAGATGAAACCATTTATCGAATTTGAATGCATTATATTCCATTATTCTTGAGATATTGCGAAACAACTATTTTTATTTCTCAACTTCAACGCCATTGTATCTCGAAAACTGAAAACTTGTATAGTTATGTCCCTATTTCAGTGATCATGAAATCACGAGGACTATCATCTGTCAAGCGTTGTATAGGGCTGTTGTAGTTCAAATCATTGAAAATTGCTCGATATAAATTCCAGATATTCCCGAGGATATTCCTAGGTACCTAGAGACGAATGAATCAGTATGGTATACATACAGTGGAAAAATTTTTGTTAAAAAGTGATAGGGGCTTCTCGAAAAAGAGAATTGTCTATAGGGTATACTGCGGCTCCCATCAACACTCTAGTACTTATAAATGCTTGAATTTGAGCCCCGAATAAGATTTCAGTTGTTCAAAAGAGATCTTCTGTGTTGATTTCAATTTGCACTTTAACGGTCCACAAATGTGGAGTGTTTGCCCAATCATACATAGGGCATGATGCAAATGGCAACACAGCAAGAGAAAACACAACCGCTGCCCTCAGTAATTGCCATATTGCCAAATGCCATCCTTTTGGATTTTCCAAAAACCTTACAACGCCATATCCTTCAGTGATCACATATTCCAAACCTGCTGAAAAATAATCCAAAAGCAACCGCAACTACGACTCACCCCGTACAGAGGCGTACACCAAAGGTATAAAGAGTCTTTAGAGTCCAGAAGCGCAGCACACTGGCCTCGGCAGTCCAAAACACAAGCACGGCGCTACCAAAACGAACATCTCATGATCTCATCGAGCAAGCCATGCTCTGTCCCGCGAGCCACAGGTGGCGGTGCCACAGTCTTTTGTTTACCACCCGCACCGTATTTCCGCGGACCCGGAAGCGCTGTCGTCTTTTTTTTTCTTTTCGCTCGCGCGTAACAAGTCTGGAGAGTCTGCAGGCTCGACGTTCTGGTGGGCTCTCGTAGCAAAACGACAATGTGTGTGTGTGTGTTGTGTAGCAGGACAACACGGCCGGTGAGAGACTGCGTGAGGTCGGATGACCGCCTCCCTGCCCCCCCTTTCTCCCCCCACTACCCCCACGCGATGCACCGCGCCAACCCCCACGGAACACTATTATAATTAGCTGCACGGTGTTACTAGCGGGGCCCGCGGGTCTCATGGCATGGCATGGCCTACTCTGTGTATGCGATGTGTGCACGTTGTTCCGTTGTTTCGGACTAGGGTCTAGGGCTAGCACCTTCTGAGGAGGCGAACATACCCGAATGTAAAGCGGCGTTCACAACCAAACTTTCTACGTTTTGCTTTTTTCGTTTCGTATTCTGATTGGTGAAGCAACATCTGTAATTGAAATGACGCAGAAAGCTGAAAATCGTCTGTGGAAATAGTAAAATGGACAAATGATATTGTTATAAAAGTGGAAAATACTACTGTTAGTTCTAATTCGAATAAAACAATATACATGTATAGAACATTCTATATGGAAGTTATGATAATGTTTTTGTTCATAATTTCATCGTGAATTCACGGAATAGTCGATGGCTGTACTGTTCAATTTATTATTTTCTTCTTGACGAATTGATATTTTCTCTTCAAGTATTGAATAAGGATCAATTTAAGTCACAGCCAGTTTTATGAATATTACTCATATTATCTAATCAATTTTATTGTTATGATTATTTCACTTCATTTCAGGATGAAACACAAATGACAAAACCAAGGGAAAACTGAGAAAAACCGTAAAAAGTCATATTGACTTTTTTTTGTTGTGAATGACATTTGCATACGTTTAAGTCACGTTTAATTTCAGATTCTGCTTCACCAATCAGAATACGAAACGTAAAAAGCAAAACGTAAAAAGTTTGGTTGTGAACGCCGCTTAAGAATGTCCTTATTGACCAACAAAATGCCTCTAGAAGGGTGCCAATTTATTGTTTGCTTTGAACATAGCTATGAGGGGATTAGAATTTTGAATCATTGATGAATATAGTATATATATCCGTATATTAACAACAATTAGATCATACAGAGTTGAATGTAAAATTGAAGCATTTTATCTGGCAGTGACTGATTGGTGATGAAAATGCTTTTTGGTCTGCAAATATTATGATAGATTGTTCTTTTAGACTCCTGCTGATGTGAGGCGATGTAGGTTCATATTTGAATCAAAAAGATGTTACTTCACCTATAGTTGTTCACAACAATGTGTGGTGTAGGTCAGTGCCGGATTAAGCCAGCGCGAGGCCTGTAACAAATTCTATCAAGAGGCCCTTGGTTTGCTTTAGGTTATCAAGTTCAGAGTACTTATTGAATAAAATATAAAACGAAACAATTAGAGATAAACTCCTCTGGATATACCTATGGGTAAATTTAGAGATATATAACACTTTCAATATCGACTTCTTCAGGCAAATCATCATGCTCTATATTTATCAAAGTGAGATGATTGAGACGTTCTTGGCCCATCGGACCATCGTGTTCCTTAACTCATCTTTTATACCTTTTGATACTAAAAAAAATACGTTCGCTACTACAGTTAGCGATCATGAGATACAAGTGAATTCGCAAGGCAATTTCTATGTTTGGGAAACATGATTCTAAAGAATTATTCAATGAGAGTTTATAAAATTGTAGTTCCAGAGGCTCCTGTTTGGTGCTCTGAATGACAGTACCCACATTCGTTTTGGGCAGCTCAACGATACACTAATTCATCGCCTACGCTGGTTT